GGATTAAGTGAATAAGGAGTTTCGATGAAGATGGACTAAGAGAGTTGAAAAACACCTGTTATAGTTGACTTCACACAAGCACTCAAAAATTTTTGTTTTTAGACTGATATTTCTATACTACCTCTACTAAAGGAGTCTACGAAGATTGAACAAATGGAAGATTTCAAAGAATGAAAAATAGAAGTGTTCTAAAAAGTCTAACAATTGAGTATGCTAGTTGCATCATTTTGTCTGCATCCGACTAAAATGCCAAGATGCGAAAAAGGGGGCATGTCACAATGTACACATGGATAGACACAAAGAAGGCAACTCAAAGACATAAACCATAAAATTTAGAAAGCCAACCTAAAATCAACCCATCAACCCTTAACATTTGTCAAAGTGTCATAACTTTGAAAATTTAAAAGAGTAGTTAATTATTTGATATATAATGAACTCTTGTTTTGTAATTTGTCTCAATTGTGAACCTAAAGTAAGGGGCACCATTTTTCAAATAACTTTATCAAACATTTTTCAAAAAAATTTCATCAAACATTATTTAAAATTCTTTCATAAATCATTTTCAAAACTTCTTCATCAATTTTTTTTCATCTTTTGAAAAAATAAAAAGATGAAGAAAAACATCTTCAAACAAGACAACCTCTATAGAGTAGATATCGATATTGATAAATGCCGCTCAGACATAGAAGTTTCTTATCAAAATTGGGGTAAAAAAAGCCAAAATTTTGGGGTAAAATTTGATGGGGGAAAGAAGAGCAAGTTGAAACAAGTCAAGAATTTCAAGGGATACCCCATGTCTGATCTTAATCATTCGAATAATTCAATCTTCGTATAAGACGTGGTTCTCTAATCAAGTAAAAAAATTAAAAGAAGTAGTAAGCATATTGGTTACTGCGGGTAAGCGTCAAAATAGTACAGGAACTTGGTCATCCATGTTAAATTGTATGGGGACCAAGGCCACCATAGCAGACATACATATTACATAAATTTGCATCTTTGAATCAAGCATTCATCATCACATACATAAGAAGCTTTGATTTCCCTCTCATGAGGATGCCTTTAAAATTTCTCTTGAAATTACATCTTACCAAAAATGAATTTCATACTATCATTCATGAAAACCCTTAAGATAGTTGCATTCATACATGTATATTACTTTACAAGCATTTCATGAAATAAAAGGTCAATGACAACTATATCTCTCCTCAACACAAATAAGAAATGTCGTCTTCGTCAAGCAAATTGCCCAAAAACAATAAGATCTCCTCAACACGAAGGGGCAGTGTCGCTTACAAAATCAAGTTATATTTAGACAATCAAAGTTTCTCAACGTGAAGGAACAATGTTGTTACCCAAATACGATTAAACATCCTCAACGCGAAGAAACAATGCTGTCTACTAACTAGACCTCCTCAACATGAAGGAGCATTGTCAGAATCAGATTTAACATCTAGTAAATCAACTCAAAGGCGGTCAGATTCTCTTCAACGTGAATGAGTAGTTTCATTTCCAACATCAAATTATCTCCAGACAATTATATTTCCTTAATAAGAAGGAATATTGTTGTCTTCAGATGCACAGTTACCCAAATACGACTATACATCCTTAACAAGAAGGAAAATGTTGTCCACCAACTAGACCTTCTCAACATGAAGGGGCAATGTAATCATAAGAGATCGGATTCTCTTCAATGTGAATGAGCAGTGTCATTTCCAACATCAAATTATCTCCAGACAATCAAATTTCCTCAACAAGAAGGAATAATATTGTATTCATATGCATAGTCATTCAAATGTGGCTAGTTGTCTTCATCATAAAGGAACAACACCGTCAACAAACATCGATTGTATCCTTTGAGATTGCTTCTCTTGAAGCAAAATCTCTGTAACACCCCCAACCCGAATCCGACCTGGATCCGAGTCTGAGGTGTCACATTGATTTTTTTTAAAACATTTACTTGTATAAAATAATGAGTAATTTAAAAACTTTTACAACATATAACTTATTCAAAACGTTTACAGAACTATTCAGAGCTTATACAATTCAAATCTTTTAAATACATACCAACTAGACTTTTATGCGATAAAATACATTTAAATCATTTATTTTATGATCTGAAACTTTGTAAGGAAAAATGCTAACCTGACTTGTACCTCAACAATCCATAAACTTTGTAAGAACCTGAGTGTGAAACACTCACACGCTAAGTCTATGACTTAGTGAGGCGAATAAATATATAATGTAAACTCTAACTTGTAATCATGCAAGAACAACTATTATTATCATATCATACACATCATATCAAATCATCTCACTCATATGCTTTTCATATAACAATTACATACATATCATCATTTATGTTTTTATCTTGCTCTTATACTATTATACTTCATATCTCTTATTTCTTATTCATATGATCTCTTACATTCATATTCTATAACTTATAACAAATTCTTATATCATCATATATAAGTCATTTATACTCACTCACATATACATCAATTCATGTAACAGATACAATAACCCATATTAAACATATATCATATCATGCAATTCATATACATATATCACATACATTGATTTCACAATGATCTCTTTATTAGCCCATGTACACATGTGAGAACTGTAGATATGTGAGTCTATTGAGGTTATGCACTATACTGTCACCACAGCTCGTATAATTCCCACTAGGGGCGCGTAGAATTTATCCCGAAGGACCACGTAGATGTCCCAAAGGACTACATATAGCACATATGTCCCGAAGGACCACTATGTCCCAAAGGACCACTATGTCCCGAAAGACGGCGTAGACCCTCGACTCTTGGCATGCCAACTATACATCTAGCTCTCCTAACACTTACATGGGCATTCTCTTTTATATTGTTTCACATAGTCACATCTCATATGCTCATAGCTTTTATCATATCATTTCTTATATTCATATAATAATATGATTCACTTTCAAGTATCACATATACACACATTCATATCACATGTTCTTATAAACTCATAACTTCTTTCACATGTACCTGTAATCAGGTAGCTTCTTTTCACGTAGTTCATGTCACTTTTCATATCATTCATTTATCACATACATAATATCTATCATATATACATTTCTTCACTTATCTCATAGTTATGTATCATATTACATAATTTAACTTATATCATATTATCATGTGTGCATATATCATGGACAATTAACATGTATCATATAAACATTTATTCACTCATATCATTAACATATGTAACAATCAATAACACACACATAACATGTCGAACATATGCTCATATTAATGAATTCATGCATTCTACTATAGGAAATAGACTTGTCACAAGTCTTATTTCCATTAATACATAATAAACTATCTAATGTGCACTCACCTTGGCCTCATTACGTTCCAATACACTTTATGATTTTCCTCTCTTTCGATCGAATCTTAACTTGCCAATCGACCCGGACTTGTTTGTGCTCGATATCTATATAATCATACATTGATACATATCGGTATCCAATTGATATACACTAATCTATCATTTCTTATACCAAAAGAAATGTCTATTTCAATTTCCCCTTGAAGTGCATCGATACATTCTACAGTGTATCGATGCATTCTTTAACATGTGCATCGATGCACTACCCATGCATCGATACACAAATTACCTTCGATGTTTTCATTTTAAAAGTGATGCATCGATGCACTCCTTATGCATTGATGCACCAATTGCATTCGATGTTTCTTCTTTAAAGAGTGCATCGATGAACATTGAATGTGCATCGATACACCTTGCCCATAATTTGCATTTTAAGCCCGAAAATCCATTTAATTCAACTCAAATGCTTCATATTTCATCCCCTTTCATATTCCTAACTTACATATACATATTTGCACTCATTTCTACTCAATAATCACTTTTTTATCCTTCATATCCTATTCTCCTTAAGAAATTCAAGAATCATACCCAAATTTTAACATGTTATAAATCCAATTCTAACACTTAATACATGTTAATTAGATTGATGACAAGTCAATTTCACTCTAAAACCTCATTAAAGAACCCTATTTCAAGATTTCACTTATTTCTCTCTTTTCTTTAATTCCCTTTATTCTCTTCATCTTATTGTTTCAAGATAATTTAAGCTCTTCTTATGCTTAATTATCACCTAATAATCAAAACTCAACCTTAAATTTCAGCTAATAATCAACAACAAGAAATCTTACATTTGCTTGAGCTCTCACGTGGAGGAGGAAGAAGAAGGGAGAAGAGTTTTCCAGATAACTCTCCCCACACGCTTATCTCTTAATAAAGAGATAAAATAATTATCTTTATATAACAAAGACCATTTTGCCCTTAATCTCCTTTAATAATTACTACTAACTTTTAGAAAATATCTACACATAAATCATTGAACTATTCAACTTTTCTACTTTTATCCCCAAATTCTGAAATTTTACAATTTAATCACTAATCTGATATTGAGGATGTTACAATCTCATCTTTCTTATCATAGTTTCTCAAGAATCACAAAACAAATTTTACCCCTCTCGAGGCAGTTTTATCTCAAAAGAACTTTTTTATCTTACATGACATAATTTCTTTTGAAACTAATTTTTTCTTGCTCAAGACAGTTTCTTTTCAAACCTAAAGCATTGACATTGTTTCTCTTGAAATAAATTATATATTGCTTAAAATTTCTATCTTAAAAAATTCTACTCTTTTTTATAATGCTTCTCTTAAAACAAAATTTTAAGATGAAAGTATCATTTTTAGACTCTATCGAGACATTATCAAAATTCAATGTAAAAGGTGGAACCGAATAAAAACTCGTTGTCTATTTATCTTTGTCCTATTATTGTTAACACAAGACTAGACAAAGAGGTGTAGCTGCAGACACTTGTTTTTGTCCGGGTTGTTATTTATTTTATTTTATTTTATATTATATATTTATTAAATAATTAATAATATTTTTATTTTTTATTTTATTATTCAGACCCAAATTACAAGCAAAACCAATACCCAACTATTGGCCAATTACAACAAGATCCATTTTGGCAGGCCCAACAGATAACCCAAAATTGGGCCCAAAAAATTAAACAAACCATAAACCCTAACCTTAGAGAGTCTTCTATTATCACCTACTGCCATGTTTTTTGCACTGTCGCGATGCTACTATTAGCTCCTGCCACCACCATTCCATTGTTGTCTACTCCTGTCACTGTCGTCATCTCAGATGGCCCTCAACGCATCAATCATTCAAAAAAAGGCAAAAAAATTAGTAAAAAAATTCTAAATGTTTTTTACTCATAAGAGACAAAGAAAATCAAATCCATGATTGTCAATCAATGAGAATAGGGTAATCATACCTTATCTTCTCGGCAGTACAAGAATCAAGGCTTAGACACAACATGCAATACCATAAATTGAATGAATTAGGCCATTTGGGGGGGTCCGAACAAAAAAAGAGAGAAAATAGAGAATGAGAAGAGAAAAATCGAAAAAACACAAAACAATTAGAAAAAAATGAAAGAGAAGGAAAACCGAGAGAAAAGCTTACCTTTTTGGGTTGAGAATCTCGTCGAAAACCCAAGGATCACCGAAAAATAGGTAAAACTCGAGATGATTTTCCTAGACCTAGGATTTATGTTTAGTTTTAGTAAAAACGAGGCTTGGTTTTGAACTTCGGGATATCGAGTGGTTGTTTTGAAAGTCTTACGTGAATTCCAGCCACCGTTCATGGCCATGAACGACGCTGTGGAATGGTGGTTCTCCTCACCCATTGATAAGAAAAGAAAAAAAAGAATTTGAGAGAGGGGATGCGGCGGTCAATTGAATTCTGGGGTTCAATAACCCTTTAATTTAACTTTTAAACCACCGTGATATGGGCCGTGGTTTTGGCCAAAGAATACATGCATTTAGGGTTAGGGTTATTCACATGCTAAGTGTCTGATCTTTTATGATCTCATCCTTTAACCTATCAATGGAATTTTTTCTTTCATGATTTGATCCTATTATTTTCATATTATTCGATTTGTCTTTATATATGATTCGGGTTTTAAACTTGTTTGTTTGTTTTTTTTTTCGTTTTTTTTTGGATAATTAAAAATTTTATTACCCAAAATCAACTTGTACAACATCAAGATACAAAAGAATCAGAGTTTAGAATGCAGTGATCAATCAACACAAAAACAAAGATCACACTGTATTCCAATTCCTAGAAAGAGTAATATTAACATTATCATTGCTATTGAATTTCTCATTGCTTAAGTGTAGTCCAATTATATCTCTGATGTCATGGAATAATTCTTGAGCATAATCTACCTTGAAACATTCTCTTGTTTCTTTCATCCCACAGTAAGTAAATAGTGGCATTAAAAGATAACTTCAAGATAAGATTGAGCATTGATTTGCCTTTCCAAGCAGTGGAAGCCCTTACATATAAAGCTTCCCACGGACAATGGTAGAAGTGAAGTCCTGAGAGAGAAAAAATATTTTTCCAGATTGATGTAGCCATAGGACAAAGCAGAAAAATATGGTCCCTTGTTTTCAAAGGATCATCACAGAAAATACATTTACAGTCAGTGATATTTACGTCTTTTGTTTGTTTGTATACATTTTGTTGTATTATACATTTTGTACCATATTTTAGCATCTTTTATTTTAATCATGTATGCTTCATGGTTTTATTCAGGTTCTAGTACCTATATAATATGATATTTACTTGCTTCTTCTTGATTTTTTTTCATTTAAAGTTTTGCCCTTTAGTTTAGTGCTATTTTAGTTTAGTCACTTATTTGCTAAGCCAGCTTATTTATTGAAATTTATGCTTCGACTTGCCTTGATAATATGTTTGTATTTTAGTCTCCATAACTTAAACGTGTACGTATATATGGTGAATCCTCTCTTTTATATCACCTTTTATACTAGTACTTATATTTTACACGATACATTGTAATATGGTAAATATATCTTTTATACATTGTATTTTCTTTATACATGCTTTTATAAATATGAATACATACTTCTTTTTTATTTTTTTAATAAAATTATTTTCATAAAATAACTTGTATCTATTTTTGGAGAATATACCGAACAAAGAGCAGTCCATGAAAAAACCCTCAAAATATCTGGAGTTTGATTCCTAAGACGTTCGAGTGAGGGAACATCCCACTAATTTTTTTTAAATCTTAATAAATATAAAAACTATGTGTGCCATTTATTTATTTATTTATTTTATTTGTCATATTATATTTGACATATTATATTTATTTATTTATTTATTTCATTTGTCATATTATATTTGAGTTTTCAAAAATTATCAAAGGCAATGTTGTTTTACGTTGTGGGTTAATAAAATTACGTTCATCATGACTGGATTTTAATTTCATTTAATTCACATAATAAGATAACACAATTTTTAAATAATAACGAGTGAATTAAGTCGTTTTTATCTAGTCAAATATATTTTTTTAAAATACTCATTTTCAAATTCATCGAAATGAAGATGGTCGCAATTTAAATTTGTAAAATTCCACTACTTAGACATCGTATAATCGAGAGGTATCAACTCTGGACGTTGTGGGGTGCTTACCATTTCCCACATGTAATTGACATCCAAACCTTTTAAAATGAATATTTAGTAAATGCAGACTAATTTTTTCCTTAAAAATGATTTTTATTAAAATTATTTAAAAAAACGTTTTTAGGCATTTTACCTAGTAACTAAAGATAGATGACAACTCCAAAATTAAATCAAATAAAAACCAAAATTCAATTTCATAAAAAATAGTCATAATTGTTTTTAAATTAACTTATTTAAAAAAATTGTTATGACTCATTTAATATTAATTAATTGATAATCTTTTGAATATACAAGTAACACGATAATCGAAATGCTATTTAAATTAATAAAGCGAGTAGCGAGATCATTCAGGTGTAGGCAAGTCTTCCTCGGTTGGTGGAGCCATTTCCCAGTCTCCCTTGTCATTTCTCACCATCCCTTTGTTCTTCTCCACCCACCATGAACCGGGCACCAAGCACTCATCTTTCAAAAACGCACAAAACTTGTTCACCAAAGCCAAACTTCTCTTCACTCTCAACTTAAACCCTCCTCTCTCTCCATTCCACCCTGCTACTACGTGCAACATTGCCTCTAAATTATGCCAATCGCGAGGATTCGTCGAGTCCTTCAAGCTCGGGGACGACCTCGTATCGATGACGAATTCAGTCCCGGTATAAACGTACCCCAACAACAAGCTAGGGTAATGAGGAATGACATCAATTGTGTTTCTTATATGTAAAACGGCAAGATTTGGATACCTCTTCATCCTATCATCAAAAGCCTTATTCCCCACCTGTGGAGAACCAAAAACAATGGCTGCAACAGGAATATTGTTGACTAAACCATGCTCAACCACATCAAAAGCACTTAAAATTGATAAACTAGCCCCCATGCTATGTCCTGTGAACAATATGCTTATATTTTCATCCTTATATCTCTGTTTTAACTCTTTGATCTTACCCAGAAGATGTGCCCTTGCACTTAGTTTTGTAAAACTTGATTTGGGATTGTCGGAAATGTAAAGCGTCATCCAGCCGAGCATCACTTTAGGCTGCTTCTCGTTTTCATCATCATTGTCACTGCTACGTAAAAGGGGTTCAACAGACTCAAGCTTGGCGTCAAGAACATTGATCCACTCGTAGCCTCTGGTTGCTCCTCGCCACACTACGTAGATCTCGCGGCGACCGAGAGCTTTCGATGTTTCGTCGGTCGTGGTGGCGATGTAGCCGATCCAGTTCGATTCGCGGTCCCAGGACTCCCTTGAAATGGAATGGAGCAAAAACGCTTCGGAGAGACTGACGCGAGCGGTGGCGTAGAGAAACGACTCGACTCTGTAATCGGAGGCGGATTCCAGCATTACTTTGTGGAAGAAAGATGACTTGCCGTAGCGGCTCGAACCGCAGAACTTGGAGTTTTGGTCGTCGTTGAAGGCGTCGTACGTGGCCTCGGAGAAATCACCGCAGCGGAGTATGATCTTACGAAGCGAGAGGTGAAGAGGATCGAGAAGCGAGTCCCAGTTTTTGCTGCCGAGTAGCTCCTCCCATGGCGGTTCCGGTTCGTCATTTGCGGCCGTGAGCATGCTAGCTGCCCACAAAGGTGTGGCCACCAAGAAAATAATGCATAGGGCTTTGGTTGTTTGTATGGTCAGTGGAAAGATTGAATAAAAGAGAAAATGCATCTTCTCTAAAGCGAAGATCATCATCAAAAGATCAATCATTAATTTTTATTTTAAGAATAATAACAAGTACATTTATAACTTCACTTTCAATTTTCTTTGAAAATCAATAACAATCAAGTAAAAATTAATTACCTTAATTGAAATTTTAAACAAAATATGATAGGAGAAATCAGTTAAATGATGTCTAATAAATTAAAACAGAGTGGATGGTCGTCGGTGTTCGAACTTGACTTTTAGTAATAATAACGATTTTTTAATCACTAAAATAAGTTAATTAATAAAACAATGTTATTTTCACTAAAAATATTGAATTTAAACAATTATGTCTACAAAATATATGTAAGTTATCAATTTAAAAAAATTGACAATATGTTACTACATTGTATTTAAATATAATTATGCACTAATCAACTTACCTTAATGGTTAAAAGAATCGTTGTTCCTAGAAGTCATGAGTTCGAGCACCAATGACTATAGCATGATGATTGAGCGTTCATTGTCAAATGGTATATTTACCGATCTAACACCCGTGGCGCCAAATCAACGTATAGCACGGTTCAAGGGACGCGCTTTACTTCTACAGATGTTAGATCGAGAAATATAATTTAATCAGTGTTATATCGATAAATATACCGATCACCGGGGATTTATTAATAAAAATGCCGTATGATAGAAAGAGGAAAAGAAAGAAATTGAAATGTTTAAAGGTCCATAACTTACCCTACGACATGACGTAGCTTAATTAATTATCAACCAAACGCTATATATATAGAAAAGTCAAATAATTTAAAAGAGTATTGTTATTTTAATTAATTAATTATCAACCATGCTATGTATAGAAAAGTCAAATAATTTTTAATGAAAAAAAGACTTTTTTAGAATAAATGAATAGTAAGTTAATCATTTTATAATTTTTAGGAGTTAGAGATTTAAAAAGTAAGATTTTAGTCATATGATTATTTTATAAATTTTAATAGTTGAAGGATTTACTAAAGTATATCCTATAGTCGAGAGACTATTTGTATAATTTACCCTTGTTATTTTATTTCTTTATCGAAGTGCTTGTTAAAATATAAGTTTTAATAGTGTTATAATTATTAAAAGGAAGACATAATACAAAAATATATGTCTAAATTATACTTTAAATTGGTTTTTAGTGTCAAAAGAATTTTTCATAAAAATAGGTGTATAATATCTTATCTGTTACACTTTTAGTTGATTACCATAAAACAATTGTTAAGTGACAAATGTGACGTTTATATTTTTTCTAAAAAATTATTTTTTTAAAAAATTATTATTTTTAAATAAAAGAAGTTAGAAATCCATGTTGCGACCTCCCTCCCTTTCCCCTCGCTATTGTCCCTTCTCCTGTCCTCCTATTTTCTCTCTCATCTAAATCATTGACAACTAAAGGAATTGTAGCAATGCAATCATCCATTTTTGTTGCAATCGTCGCTTGAATCATGAGGCTTAGGTTATTAGGTGTTAGGTGTTATTTAGATTTCGATCGATTGATAGCGATTGTGGTGGTTTTTTGGCCGTGAAGGGATTGAAATTAGAATTTTTTGAGGTTTGAGGGGTTGTTTATAATTTCAAATTTTTTAATAATCTAAGTATTTTTAAAATTTTATACGGTTGACACGTTGTCAAAATGAGTTTTTCATATTTTAAAAAACACATTTTTAATTATCTTTTGATTAATATTTAATTAAAAGTAATGTGATTTTAAAAAATCTTTCGTTTCGAAAAATTTAGGATTCCCTTTAAATAAAATAAAATACGGTTCGAGGAGTCACAACCAATATTTGATTAGGGTGTGATTGGGCACCTAAAAACATATTTGTCATTTTAATAAAAATATTGATTTTAATTAAAACAATAAATTTACGGTCTACGTACCAGAAAATTGAGTTCGGGAGTTGATTACGCGTGGGGAAAGATTAGCACCCCTACAACGCCATAAATCGGTACCTAGTCAATTAATTAATTGTCTTTGCAATAAAATTTACGAGTTCGAATTTAATTTAATTTAAGATCCCTTAAAACAACATTAGTGAATGTTAGAATGAAACTAAGTAATTTTTAATTATTTCCTATCGAAAAGAAATGACCTCTCGTACCTTGAGACAATAAATTCTTACTCCAATCGAAATAAAGAAATATTACATTTCATTGCAATATTCAAATGCACGAAATTAAACAAATTTAATTAAAACTTACCAATCATTTTAGGAAGAAGAAGAATATTCGATTATTTAAAGTCGTCAAGATCAGACCTTAGATAAGTTCCTTAGATAAGTTCTAACGATATTTTCTCGAAGAATTTAAATAGACTAACATTTCTTTTTCTCTCGTTCCCAACTTTTTGGTGTAGTCAAATTTTAGGGTTTCACTTAACGAGATACATTTTCATTTTAAAACTATTGGAAGTAGCCTTCTCATAAGTTAAGACAACTACCTCACGTCAATTTTAAAACAAAAAAGGTATTACCCTTAGTCAAATTATTTGGATCGAGTTAAGTCATGCTCATGGGAGTATCATACATATCATGTGATTCGTAAATAAATCATTCACATACTCACACACATGTAAACATATCAGTATGCAAAACAAATATATATATAACTAATTAAAGAAGGCAATTACCTAACAAGGGACTACATTAAAAGAAATCTAAATTTAATGACTAAATCTAGAAGATAAAGTAGTCTAAATTAGGACTAAAATATTTGAAATCTAAATCTAAGGATTCAATTTAAAATTAAAGTTCTAGGGCCAAATTTTAACACAATAAAACAATTCAAAGAATTCTAGCATAATGACTATATTGAAAGTGAAAGGAAATTAAGCATGCAAGATCGAAATTATGACAGTGACCTAAATAGAAAAACAAGGAAAAGTTAGGGGCACTCAAACCATGATTTACCAACCATGAAAAACCTAAAATTTACTAATACATGCAGTAGGTAAAATTATAGAATCAAGGTATGACAATTAAGTAAAACACGAAAAGAATACTACATGTGCCTATGCAAAAGGCGCTAAAATGTGAGGGATTGAAACGTGGTTTCGCCTAAGATTCTAAGAGAAAATTTGTATCTTGCATCAAGCATTCATCATCACATACATAATAAACTTTGATTTACCTCTCATGAGGATACCTTTAAAATTTCTCTTGAAATTACATCTTACCAAAAATGAATTTCATACTATCATTAGTGAAAACCCTTAATATAGTTGCATTCATACATGTACATTACTTTACAAACATTTCAGGAAAGAAAAGATTAATGACAACTAGATCTCCTCAACACAAAGGACCAATGTCATCTTCGACAAGCAAATTACCCAAAAATGATCAGATCTCCTCAACACAAAGGGGTAGTGTCACTTACAAAATCAAGTTATCTTTAGAAAATCAACCTTTCTCAATGTGAAGGAACAATGTTGTTACCCAAATACGATTATAAATCCTCAACGCGAAGGAACAATGTCATCTACTAACTAGACCTCCTCAACATGAATGAGCATTGTTAGAATCAGATATAACATCGAGCAAATCAACCCAAAGGCGGTCAGATTCTCTTCAACATTAATGAGTAATTTCATTTCCAACATCAAATTATCTCCAGACAATCAGATTTCCTTAACAAGAATGAATAATGTTGTCTTCAGATGCACAGCCACCCAAATACGACTATACGTCATTAACATGAAGGAAAAATATCGTCCACCGACTAGACCTTCTCAACATGAATGAGCAATGTCATAATAAGAGATCATATTCTCTTCAACGTGAACGAGCAATGTCATTTCCAAAATCAAATTATCTCCAGAAAATCAGATTTCCTCAACAAGAAGGAACAATATTGTGTTAATATGCATAGTCATTCAAATGTGGCTAGTTGTCTTCATCGTGAAGGAACAACACCGTCAACAAACATCGATTGTATCCTTTGAGATTGCTTCTCTTGAAGCAAAATTTGATCTTTCTTATCATAGTTTCTCTAGAAACACAAAAAAAAAATTGCCCCTCTCAAGGTAGTTTTATCTCAAAAGAAATTTTTTTATCTTACATGAGATAATTTCTTTTGAAACTAATTTTGTCTTGCTCGAGACAGTTTCTTTTGAAACATAAAGCATTGAAATCGTTTCTCTTGATATAAATTATGTCTTGATTAAAATTTCTATCTTAAAAAGTTCTACTCTTTTTTATAATACTTCTTTTAAAGCAGAAATTTAAAATGAAAATATCATTTTTAGTCTCTATCGAGACATTATCAAAATTCAATGTAAAAGGTGGAACCTGACAAAAACTCGTTGTCTATTTATCTTTGCCCTATTCTTGTTAATACAAGACTAGACAAAGAGGGGTAGCTATAGACACTTGTTTTTGTTCGGTTTGTTAATTTTTTTTATTGTATATTATATATTTATTAAATAATTAATAATTAATAATATTTTTACTTTATTATTCAGGCCCAAATTACAAGCAAAACCAAGACCCAACTATTAGCCCATTACAACAAGACCCATTTTGGCAAGCCCAACAGATAGCCCAAAATCGGGCCCAAAAAAATTAAATAAACCATAAACCCTAACCCTAGAGAGTTTTTTGTTGTCGTATGTTACCATGGTCTCTGCATTGTCGCGATGCCACTATTAGCTCATGTCACCACCACTATTGTCTACTCCTGTCACTGTCGTAATCTCAGACGACCCTCAACGTATCAAACAGTCAAAAAAGGGTAAAAAATTAGTAAAACAATTCTAAATGTTTTTTTTACTTATAGGAGACAAAGAAAATAAAATCCATGACTGTCAATCACCGATAATAAGGTAATCATACCCTATCTTCTTGGCAGCACAAGAATCAAGCCTTAGACACAACATGCAATACCATAAATCGAATGAATTAGGCCATTTTTGGGGGGTCCAAACAAAAAAGGAGAGAAAATAGACAATGAGAAGA